TCTTAGACAATGTGGTCTTGTGCTTGGGTCTCATGTGGTGAGCCTGGGTTAAGGAATTGTGGTGCTACAGCAAGAGAGAATATCAAGTTGAAAATGAATCAGAAGGAAATTTAGATAGGTGGAATAGTTTGATAGTAGACCGAATCGGTATGGTAAGGATATGATTAATTCTGTGTGTGTGTTCGAGGTAATGAGTTCTTTCAGGTATTTTGCGGAGATGCTCTTAGGTTTTGATGACTTGCTTAGCTTGATCGAGTTAGAAGGATTCAGTCATGACATGTCTGATTTGTGCAAAGGGAACTCGGAGAGTTCTTGATGGTTTTACCGCGGTTTGGGAATGTATATTTTCTATGGACATGGGATGTATAGTGATTTTCCTTCTAGATGGGACCAATGGAAGGTTCGTGACTAGTGAATATGTAGTTGATTGTGGCTCGGAAAGGGATTTTAAAGTTCTCATATTTATCATAGGATGGCATGTTATATGTGGTATGTTGTGTGGGGCGGGGATTGGCACATGTAAGGTCACAATTCAGTTTTGAAAGGAAGGTCATAAATTCTTAGACAGCACATGCAGTTTCAGATGACTAGGTAAATAATATTACTAAATGGTGTGTCTTGATAACGGTATGCACTTCAGAAAGAGGGAAATGTGGTTGAGTTAATAATACATCATAGGTATTGCGGTTGTAGACTGTGAGAAAATAGCTAAGGTTTGTCAGAGGGTAGTATGTGCTATGATTTAGTCGTTGTGAACCTTCGGAGGATTATTTATCTATTGTGTATGACTAGACTTGATGTATGGTCCATTGGTAGACCTATATGAATGTGTGTTCTGTATTACGACGGCTTGGTTGACTTCGAGTTGCCAATGGTGAGGTGTGTGTTGATTCGTCTGTTATTGAGCTTATTAGTAATCTGGGGAGACCTATGAGTTACCTTTCTATGTTGCGAGGTGTTATGATTTGTTGGTTATAGGCACATATGGTGCAGTTCTATTAGGGTTTCATAGTGGAAGTCGAGCGGGAAGAGTAATTTGGCGTTGCTCGGTGAACGGCATATTGGTTATGTCCTATCGGGTGTGCGTGGTGTATGTTATTTGTTTCACCGTGGGTGTAATGATTGCTTTGGTTCCAGACATCAAATTATGCGTGGTTGTCGATTTCGAGCATAATGACTTGAGGTGTTTCATGTGGAACAGTGTTGGATAGGATCGCGCATCACAGCAAAGTTATGTGGAGGTATGACCTTGCGGGTTAGATTCGTGTGTTATGTTCCTACAATGAGAGACGGGTTCTCAACCTTGTGTTGTGGCGGTACTGGTGAGCTTGAGGTACAACTCTTTCAATTGAGTCATTTTCATGATTTGTGTATGTTTGGACCGTTGCTTATTGGTGCGCGTATTATGCAAGTGGTGTTTTAGGCCTGTACGGATGTGTCATGTCACTAGAGCAGTGTGTTGGATTAGAGGAGATCGTTGAGATCTTTAATGAATACAAACAGATTTGATTTCAGCATGTCGGGAGGATAAATATCGAGGTTCGGCTCAGAAATTTGCTATGGTCCTTGCCAAAGGAGAAGTGGCCTTATGATTGGTTGATCTGAGAAATGGTTATGGTTTATTGCGTGTTTCATTTATCATTGGCAGTATATGGAAGTGTTGGAATGAGACTTTAGTTGATAAGAGGTTTTCTGTCGGTATTCGATTGTTATGTGCAGCTGCTGTGAATAGAAGTTATCGCTACGAGTGTTTGAGTTATGTGGTATATTATATAATTGCACCTGAGGTTGCAGGCATGGGCTATTACAGTTGGTTCGAGCCTATTCAGTGTATGAGGGTGAGGTTTTGATCGTATTGATGGTTTCAGAAGTGAAAGTGTGGTTCTATGATTCATGGTCTAGATTGGGTTGTGTAATTTCAGCTTCTATGTGTTATCACACCTATATGAGATAGGGTGACATGGGATCACCCCCGGGTTATGCATGGTAAAGTTATTCAGCTATTGGTTGGCTTTTAGAACAAATTTGAGTACGTTCGAGGAANATCGGAATGCATTTTGGAAGTCCATGGAAGGATTTGGCTCGAATTGGCAAAGTTAGTATTTTGGAGAATTCCGGTTGATAGATGAGATTTTGATCCGAGGGTCGGAATGGAATTCCGAGAATTGTTGTAGCTTCTTTATGTCATTTGTGATATGTGTGCAAAATTTTAGGTTATTCGGACATCGTTTGGTCGGGTTTTTGATCGAAAGTGTATTTCGAAAGTTTTTGGAAACTTAGGCTTGAATTCGATGAGTTTTGGGTAATTTGATGTTGTTTGAGGTGTTTTGATGATTGGAACAGGTTTGAATGATGTTATGAATTATGTTGGCATGTTCGGTTGGGGTCCCATGAGGCTAGGATAAGTTTTGGAAGAGTTTTTGGAAGATTTTTGCCATTTTGAGCATAAGCATGTAATGATCCAAATGTCCATTTTAAGTTCTAGAGATCGAAATTTAATTTTGAGACTTCCAAAATTTCAATAATGAATTATAGGAGTGATCTGAAAAGTTTGGTCTAATTTCATCAAGTCACGGTTGGGTTTTTGACGCGAAACATGAGTTAATTGTTTAACGAGCGAAATGGATATCGCACTGAGCAAACGAGCTCCGAATTGAGTTTCGATTGAAGGACTATGTTCGTATCATTATTTGTGACTCATAATCAAATTCCAAGTTCGTATGGTGGAGTTAAGAGCCTTTTTAGTAAAAATAAATACTGCTGGTGCAGCAGGATCTGGTGCGCACCTTTAGTGGCCAGATGTGGGACTTTTAGCGGCGGGAATGGGTCTTTTAGCGACCAGAATCCGGTTACTAATGTTGTTCTGGTTTTTTTTGCTCATTTTCACGTTTTTCTGGTGAAAGAACACGGCTTGGGGGAATTTTTTGAGCAGGAAATCTTGAGGTAAGTCACTTGTGATCATTTCTACTCCATAATATTNGAAAGAACACGGCTTGGGGCGATTTTTGAGCAAGAAATCATGGGAAATCTTGAGGTAAGTCACTTGTGATCATTTCTACTCCATAATATTGAATTATCATCGAATAATCCGACTAGATTACATGTTTTTGAGGTGTAAATTGGGGATTTGGACCTAGGGATTTGAAAATAAGATTTGAAGATTTGAGGTCGAATTGTTATCGGAATTTAGTAATTTTGGTATGGTTGGACTCGTGGTTGAATGGGTTGTCGGATTTTGTGAGTTTCGTCGAATTCCGAAGCGTGGGCTCGGGGGCTGGATATGAGAAATTTTGGGATTTTGATGTTAAATTGGATATTTTCAAGTGGGCTTCGCTCCCTTAGCATATTTTAATGATTATGTATTGATTGTGGCTAGATTTGGAGCATCCGGAGGTCGATTCGTGCGGGCAAGGCATCGCGGGCTAGAGTTTGGACCGGATCAAGGTGAGTAATGATTGTAAATGATGTTCTGAGGGTTTGAAACCCCGGATTGCACATCGTAGTGCTATATTCAGGTGAGACACACGCTGGATAATGAGCGTGGGATCTTTTACTACTGGGGATTGTGACTTGGTCCGTCTCGATTGATGATTTTACCGCGTATTTGACTGAAACTTATTTGTTATCATCATAATTTGGGGATTGTCATATTTGGGCTCCGTACCAATTATTTGAACCCTTCGAGGATTTTTATCACCATTTTCTCACAGTTTTGACTTAATACTTGAACTCAGTCCTGTTGATATCTGTTGTTTTACAAACTCAGCCACTTTTACTCAGATTTGAAACGTAAATGATATTTCTAAATGATGTTTTGGGCTGAGAACTACTGTTTTACTAATGCCCGAGGGGCTTGTGATAATTTTCGGACTGAGTGAGGTCGAGGGCCATATGTGAGGATATACCGAGTGATATGAGGCCGATGGCCTATGATACTTTATACGCCACGCGGTGGCTTGAGTGATGTGAGGCCGAGTGATATGAGGCCGAGGGCCTATGATACTTTATATGCCACGCGGTGGCTTGAGTGATGTGAGGATATGCTGAGTGATGATGTCATGAGGTGGCTTGATATAGCGTTTGGGCCGTAAGGGGCCCCTCCGGAGTTTGCACACCCACAGTGAGCACGGGTACCCATTGTTCTGAGTGATTGATACTATGCCCGAGGGGCTGATATGAGTGATTGTGAGGTAGTCCGAGGGGCTGATACTATTCTGAGAGTGAGCCCGAGGGGCTGTTACTGTTCTGATATTGAGCCCGAGGGGCTGGCACTGTTCTAATATTGAGCCCGAGCGGCTGGTTCTATTGATATTATACCCGAGGGGCGGTTTGTTGTACATGTTTTGCCCGAGGGGCTGTTTATATTTCTATCATTTTTGTTACTCACTTGTAAACTACTTGATTTACTTGTTGGAAAAAGGGATTTTCACTTGATTTCTCACTACCTTACTGTTTAAAGTGATTTTTACTGCTTCAGTATAGAATGTCTTGTGTTTTTACGTGATTTCTTGCCTTCAGTCTTTATTTATTATTATTACTCACTAAGTCGGAGTAGTCACATTACTCCCTGTACCTTGCGTGCAGATGCAGGTATTTATACACCCGGTAGCGGGTTTTTGGCTGATCAGAGGCAGAGTTATCGGAGTTTAGCGAGGTGGCTGCCGACGTTCGCAACACCGCTTTTCTCCCTTTTGTTCATTATTCTTGTTTTGTATAATTTGACCTTGTAGTTGTATTTATACCCTAATAGATGCTCGTGACTTGTGACACTCCGGTTTGGGCTGTGTGGGGATGATTTCTACTGTTGTTATCGTATTTTCGCAAATTATGGTTACTATATCTTGTCTTAGAACTATTTATGATATTTAACAGTTTAAAAGAGGTGTTCTGTTTTGGTTTGGCTGGCCTTGTCTTCACGAGAGGCGCCATCACGACTAGGTTCGAGGATTTGGGTCGTGACATGAAGTTATCTTTCTTACCAAAAAAAAAAAGAAACCATGTTTTTTTTTTGCTAAGGAAAGAAACTTTTATTCAAAACAAAAACTTATTACACATTAGGAACTGGGCATTTAGAACCCGTTCCTAATATGTCTTCTTTTAGTACATCTAAGATAAAAGTGGGAGGGGATACAAAGATCATTATATTTCTTCGGATTTCTGGCTGACCGCCTTTCCCATAGCAGGCCAGCTTGTTTGTAGCAGCTTTTCTTTCTCTAAAAATATGGCCCACCTGTGGCCTGCCCAGCTCCTCCAGTAGATGCTTGCAATCCGTTAATATGTGTGAGAAAAGTAGGTTATTTGATGACAACATTTGAAGTAATACCTGAGAGTCTGTCTCCACAATAAATGGAGTTAAAGTATGGTTCATTGCCAGCTTTAGACCATTGTGTAATACCATTAATTCCATGTGAACTGCAAATTGTGAATGGTGTTAAAATGCGAACTCAATAATCCACTCCTCATTATTGTTTCGGATAAGACCACCTCCCCCTCCTGTATGTGTTTGCATCAAAAGTACCATCTATGTTAAGTTTAAAAAAACCGTTTGGGGGCGGAGTTCATCGAATTATTTTTGTTACGCGAATATGTTTTTCCTTGTGCTTATGCACTAGGTGATAATACTCTAAAGTTTGGAAAATTATGTCGTAGTGAGTTATTGGTTTGGTGGAATTTCAGAAGAGGGTTATGTTCCTATTTTTCCAGATGGACCAAAGAATAATGGGGTTAGGATTTTTAAAGGAAGTGATTGGTTATTTATGACAATGCATTTTGTAGATGCTGAGCATAGATGAAATATTTGAGAATCCATTTGATTTGCGGGGATGTGCAAGTTGAAATGTTCCCAAATGGATCTTGCTTGTGGGCAATTTATGAATAAATAGTAGTATTTGGATAAGAAGCACAAGTGGTTGACACAATTATATTACGATGGAATAAATTTTCGGCAATTGGTAATTTATTATTGAGGAGAAGCCACATGAAAAATTTAACTTTGTTTAAAGCATGTATTTTCCATACCCATTGAGTAAATTTTTCAAGGGGGGTTGGAGTACTTTTTGAGTGGTGAAGGTAAGTGGTGTAAGCTGATTTATAGAGAAGAATCTCGATAAGGTGTTTTTCCAGAAGAAAGAGTCTATTTTGGATCGGATTCTTGAATGTAGGTATTGTTAATGAGGCGTAGGATAGTAGAAGGGATTTGCATGGATATTTGGGAGAAGTCCCATTCATTATTAGACAGCATAATATTATTTAATGTTTGTACTGAGTCGGTTTGAGTTAGTGGTCTTTCTATGATTGATCATAGGGAGTCATTTGATCTTATCCAATTATCATCTCAAAGCCTTATATTATAGCCTGTTCTAACATTCCAAGCTAATCCATGGTTAAAGAGTTGAATATTCTTAGTATGCTTTTCCAGATGTAAGAGTCAGATGGTTTCATAGTGAAGTTATTGAGGAGTTGTCTTGTTTGGTATTTTTCTTTTAAAATTTTAACCCATAAGTGATATGGGTTTGAGATAAAGTGCCAAGTTAGGCTTAAAGGAGGGCTGAGTTTTTTGCTTTAGTGTTGGTGATACCCAATCCTCCCCAACTCTTTGGTAGTGTAGCAGTCTCCCAATTTACTAGGTGTATCCTTTTCTTATGTTCAGTGGAACCCTAGAGAAAATTGTGTTGGATGCGATAGATTTTCCCGATGCAGTTTTGGGAATCATGTTAATTTGCATTGCATAATTAGGGATTATTAATATAGTACTGGTGATGAGAGTAGCACGATCGGCCATGGATAACATTTTTGCCTTCCAACCTTGTAGTCGGCTATTCATGCGGTCAATAATGCATTGGTAGTCAGCATTTTTTGGGTGGTGGTTAGTGATTGGTAATCCTAGGTATTTTCCAAACTTTGTGTTGAGGGAGTTTACAATAATTCTTTGTCTGCGGGGGTGGACATTTTTTGAGAAGTAGACTTTAGATTTTGCAAAGTTTATTTTTTGACCAGATTGGGATGATAAGTTGTTGAAAATATTTATAATGGTAGAGCTATTTTTGTATCAGCTTCAACAAATAGCACCAGATCATCTACAAAAAGGAGATGCAATAGTTTTGTTGAGACTCTTCCTATTTTGATAGGATTCCAAAGGTTATGGTTTATTTCTTGGTTGATTAAGCGGGTTAGGGATTCCATGCAAATGATAAATAAGTATGGTGAAATGGGGTCACCTTGCCTATTCTCACGAGTTGGTTTGAAAGAAGTGGTAAGTTTCCCATTGACAAGTATTGATATGGATGAAGTTGTGACGCATGACATAATGAATGAAATTAGCTTTAGGGGAAAATTGAAGCTTGCCAAGGAAAATCTAATGAAGGACCATTCGAGACGGTCAAAGGCTTTTTCTAGATCAATTTTTAGCATCATATGCCCTTTTTTACTATTATTCTTATTGAAGGAATGAATAGCTTCTTGGACAATGATGCTATTATCAGTAGCTCTGCAACCGGGAATGAAGCTGTATTGGTTAAGGCTAATAATTTTGTGCAATAGTGGTCTTATACGGTGTTAAATTATTTTAGTAATAGTTTTGTAAATCGTATTGCAAAGGCTTATGGGTCTATATTGAGTGATCAATTCAGGGTTTTTTACTTTAGGGATTAAAACTATAATTGTATTATTAATATCATGTGGGATCTAGTTGGTTGAAAAGACATCCATACAAAAATTAGTGATTGCAGTTTGAGTATCGCCCCAAAATTGTTGGAAGAAAATGGAGTGAAGTCCATCTGGACCTGGTGCCTTTAGAGGTTTAAAGGAATTGATGGCATTTTTTATTTCTAAAGTTGAAAGAGGTTTGGTGAGTTGAAGTTGATCTTCATGTGTTAGTGCGTGAATATCTGTGGGTATGAATTTTTTAACGCTATAAGGAAGTTCAGTAGTATACACATTTTTAAAATGCTCAATGATAGTGGTTGTAATGGCATACTTATTTAAGGTCCAGTTGCCAACATTATCTATTAGGCCCATAATCCTATTTTTGCGCCTTTTATGGATTGTAGTCGTGTGGAAAAATTTTATGTTGGCATCACCTTCATTTAGCCATTGGACTCTAGATTTTAATTTCAAGAAGTCCTCTTCTTATTGAAGAATATTATTGTAATCGAAAATAAGGTTTGTTTCAAGGTTGTGGTGAAACGTCTTTTTATGGATCAGATTCATTTTTTGTAGACCTTCAATTCTAGCAATAATTTTCCTTTTACTAGCAAAAATGTTTCCAAAGCATGTGGAGTTCCATTTTGGGCATTATTTTTAGAGCTGGCCATAGCACTTGTATACTCGGCGTTAGAGTGCCAACAGCTTGATACTAAAATTTTAAAATCAGGGTGACGTAGCCACATTGTTTCAAACTTGAAAGCACTAATAGGTTTGTTAGAATGACGTATGAGGTTAAGGAGTAGCGGACAGTGGTTTGAGTATATGCGTGGGAGATGTGTAACATTTGAGTCTTGGTATATTTCAAGCCAAGCCGGGTTACTCATAAATCTATCTAGTCTTTCTAGTTTAATGGAATTATTGTTTTGGCTGTTAGGTTTGTTAGTCTAGGTGAACCTTGGTCCAGTAAAGCCTAGGTCTAGCATGTTCATTTCGTTAATACACTCCACAAAGGCCGAAATTCTGTTATTCTTGGTGAGGTTTCCTCCTAATTTTTCAGAGGCATTTGTAACTTCATTAAAATCCCCACATACTAATCATGGGAGATTAATAATTGAAGACATTTCTTTGAGGTTTTTGAACAGGATATTTTTATATCTACTACTCCCTCCGTTTCAGTTTATGTGAACTTATTTGACTGGGCACAGAGTTTAAGAAAAGAAAGAAGACTTTTGAACTTGTGGTGTAAAATGAAACACATATATTTTGTGTGGCTATAAATCATTGCATAAAGGTAAATTATTTCCAAATAGGGAAAGAGGTTATTCCTTTTGGCACGAACTAAAAAGAAAATAGGCTCACATAAATTGAAACGGAGGGAGTATTATTTTTAGCATATATGACAGAAATAATCCACGTGGGTGATGATGTACTTACTTTCACAGTCGCATGAATTTCTTGCTCAGTGAGTACCATTGGTTCTATGGTGACCTCATGATTATTCCAAAGCAATGCGATTTCTCCGGAGAACCCAGAAGCTGGTACCTGCAGTAAATCAGTAAAAGGCAACTGTTGTAGCAAAATATCATGGTCTGCCATTCGATTTTCTGTGAGAGCTAGAACAGATGGTGTGTTTGCATGGAGAATGGCGTCCAAATTACGCCTGAAAATGGGATTATTAGCTCCCCTACAATTCCATAGCAGTATTTTCATATGAGGGTTGGTGTGATAATTCATTCCCTGGCCCCGAGTGAGATCTAGGTTTGTTGCAACTGCTGGGCATAGGTTGAGGACATATTGCTGCATGGGCGACCATGCACACGACCTTATGTTCAGCGACACTTTCCGAATGTTTGGCGGAGTTTGAAGCGAGATTTTTTCTTCTGCATTTTCTAGGAACGTCAGAGTCAGACACTCCTCCGTCAGGATGATGGGATCCATCACAGGGCCTTGAGTGTTTGGATTGCTTCCCTCCTGTTCCGGGACCTGTGGTGGAGGGGAATTTTGAGTAGTTGAATGGAATGATGGACTTGGTGTTTCCATCACTGGTACTATCTGTTCCATGGAGAATCGCTGCAGTTGAGCTTGTGTGACTGGTGTGTGCAGTGTTTGAAGTACTTGATTTAGCGATAAATTCGCAAAGTTGCTTAGTTGGTATGATGGCGAGTTGGAGTTCTGGTATTGCATGTTGTTGGAGGGGTTCATCAACATGTTTCCCAATGATAGTAGGTCTTCTTGCTGGACAGTTTGGTTGTAGAGAAGCGTTTGGTATGCTTGGATCATTTCTGGGGTGGTCATTTGTATTGGGAGAGTTTCTAGTGGCATGTTTGGGTGGAAGTTCATCATGTTGTTGTTCCAGCTTGGGATGGGCGACTGGATTTGGAAAGGGTCTAGTGGTAGAGGGAGAGTTCCCTGGATAGGGTTGAAGTTGAAGTGGTGGAATTGGTTCTGGAATGGAGTGACAGTGCTTGAGCCTAGAGTCATTGGTGCTAGTTGGAACATGCATGGCGGAGGTGGAGGTTGCGTGAGTGTGCATGGAGGTGCAGTTGTTTGGTTTGTTGATATTGAGGACTGAGTTGGACGTCTGTTTTGGTTCCTCAGACGTGGAGGATGGCTGGTGGAGGAGTGTTTTGAGCGAGGCATTTTTGGAGGTTGGTTGTGGTATTGTTTTGGTGAAAACTGGAGATGGTGAAGGAGCGTGAAGAGATGAGGGTGGTTTTATAGATGGCTGAAGGGGCTGGTGCTTTAAATGCTGAGATTTGCGTTTATGTTTGGGTAGTAGTTTACGTCAGAGTTCTGCAGATTTTGTGGTAGGAATGGCATTGAAGGAATGGGAGGTCACAGGTGTAGGGCTACTGTTAGAGGAATATATGGGATTTTGGGTAAGTATTTCAGAAGATTTGGCTGTTAAAGCACTTATGAGTGCTTGTACTTTCCCTCTTTGGGGGATGTCCTTTTCGTTCGTGTGGTTTGATTTGGCAGGTATACTTGATGAATGGTTGGTTTTACTTGATGAATGAATTTTTCTTTTGTTTGTATCGTTACTGGAGATGTCGTTGGTTTGTAACGATTTGGAAATTATCAGGTTGGCATTGGTTGCTAGGGGTTTGGGGTTTTCCTGTTGTGAATGGACGAGAGGTTTGGTTGAGGTGTAGTTGATGTGGTGGATTTAGTTAGGTTATGGTTGAGGAGGGATGAAGTAGTTGCAGTAGGGGTTTTAGGGTTAGTAAGGGTAGTACTTGTTGATTTGGTAGATATTGTATTTGTAGTTGGTAGGTGTATTTGGTTTAGTTTTGCTGGGGAAGTAGATTGTGGATTTGCTATTTCCGCGTTAGTCAACTGTGCATGTATAGTTTGAGGAGTGACAATGGTATTGTTATTGTTTTGTAGTTGGGTTGTAATTTGATTAGTTTCGTTGGCTGTCGTGGGTGTATTTGGGAGGGATGTTTCTTGGTAGTTTTCTAGTTTGGAAAAATTGTTATGGGTTTTGGGTGGTAAAATTGGGTTTTTTGTAGTAGTTGTTGAAAATTGTTTTTTGCTATTTTTGGGGAAGGTTACTGTTGTCCATGGGCCTTCCGATACCTCAATGTGATTTTCCTTGAAATTTTTTTCTTTTCCATTTTTTTTCTGATCTTTTTCTTTTTTTTCATTTTCTTTTTTTTCTTCTTTTTTTTCATTTTTTGCAGTAGTCGAAGAAGTACCTTGTTCCATGTTTGATGAACTGTTGCAGTGGTACAGTGTGAGTCCTAGGCATCCACAGCTTTGACATAGAGGAGTTGAGCTCTCATAGTGAATTTTCTGTAGGTGCTTGCCAATGAGTATATCCCTGGGCACTGGTTTTCCTAGCTGGACTAATATACAAAGTCTTGCATAACGTCCTCTACTAGTGTTCCTTGTGCAGCTATCTATTTTTAGTATTGATCCAATTTGACTTCCTATTTTTCGGAGGATTGTCAAGTCGTAGTATTCTGTTGGCAATTCTGGCAGTCGTATCCAAATAGTTGAAAAAGGCGTTTGATCATTAGTGGGATTGAATTTTGGCTCCCATTTTCTAACGGAGAGAAATTGTGATCCTATAAACCAAGGGCCTTGGTTTAAGATTTTTGCATAATTTTCTGAGGTTGTAAATTTGAATAGATAATAGTCTTCACCAAGATCTATCAAGTTTAAATCCTCATTTAGGTTCCAAAGGGTTTTTAGTTTATTTCTAAGTAGCATGAATCCTAACCGTTTTTCTAGCAGTTTTACTATCTCTGTATGTTGCCATGGTTCGTAGAGTCTTGTTTTTTCTGATGAGGAGATTGGTATGAAGAAGGGGTGTTTAGTTGGGTTATCATGTTCATCATCTAGATTAAAATGAGCAAAATCGTGTTGTATGCTATCTGCTGGGATGAAGCAATTATCTATTAGAAGTTTGTCACGAAACCTTACTTTATTTTCAGTCGGTTGCTGATAATTATTTGTACTTCTATTGAGTAGATCTTCTTCTTGATCGGACATGTGATCATCAGTTGAACCCATTGGAAAAGCTTGATATTGTTAATTCGAAGAAACTCCAAATTTTCCTCAGGATAAGGCTCAGGACACAAATATCTGCACAACAATCAATCACTAATTACACCAAACAAAATATTTAACACAAACCCAACAAAAGAAAAATAGAAATTTGCAATTCATAAAATAAACAAAAAAAGATTTCTTTATCAATCGCGCTTCAACATCTCCATCTTCTCATCTATCATTTAAAAAGTTTCCCATTTCTATTATCCATCGCCTCTCTTCCGTGTTAGCTTCTCACTAGGTCCTCGTCCTGAAAGACGGACAACGCTAATTCATTCCTCAGCTTCATTGTCACTCTCAGAATCAATAAATTTAACAGCTACATCACCAGTGTCAAGGCCAACAAATCCATCTTCCAATTTGAACACTAGATAAGCAACATATTTGGTCCTTTTCGACAGTATTTTAGTTTCAAACTTGCCTCGGATTTCAAGCCAACAAACGTGCCCGAGTTGCCAAATCGCCAATTTTCATTGAATTCTCCTTTATTCTGTTTAGTCTTTGACTTCTCCTCGTAATCAAATGTTTGTTATGGAAAAAAAAGATATACTCAGCTCATTTTAAAACTTGTTTTAAAATCAAATTCAAGAACTTTGTTGAAAGATTTTACTTCACATAAGCTTATTTTAGTAATTGAAACTGTATAAGTCTCGTAATACTTTCTTCTTATGTCGTTAATATTATCATTCTATTCTAAAAAGATAGCAGCTTCTTTGGTACTTCAAAATTATTTTTCTTGAACTCGAATTTGACATTTAACTTATTAAATATGTACCCACAGATTATGAGATAAATAGAGTATTAAGAAATAAAGTCAAAAGACAAATCACGCGATAATTTGTCCGACAATTCTAAATGATCAGAGAGTGCAAAAGGTAATATAATTGTGCTAGCATGTGAAATACTGTTGACAGGGGCGGGAGCCAGAAGTTGATATATGAGTTTGGCCGGACACAATAGCTTTAGTTCAAATTTTATATATGTATTAAAAAAGTTCACTAAATGTATACAAAATTAAATATAAAACCCAGTTACTAAAACTAGATATTGCTATCCTAAAATTTAAAATCACTAAAGTTCAAATCCTAGTTTCGGCTCTCAAGGTTAGTAGCCATTTTTGTTGGAAAAGCAAACATTGTTAGAAGATAGAAAAGAGAATACAGTCATATTATACTATAATCCTCATAATTATTCTTTATACAATTGGCATCACAAACCAGTTAAATTAGGTTACGGATAGGGGTGATAAAAGGACGAGTCGGATCTAATGTGATCGGGTCAAAAATGAATAATATAAAAATTGATAAATTGTCCGATCCCGATCCATAATTAATACGGCTAGAAAATGAATTAACGGATGGATAATATAGATATCCATATTATTTATGGCTTCTTGAATATGCATGATTACTTTTGGGAAAATTCCTAACCTCTCAAATATGAGGAACCCCCAATTTGAGTTTTTGCAAATGTAAAAGTTAAACCATTAGTTATTCATTTTTTAATTGGATAATATGGTTCTTATCTATATTTAACTAATTTTTAAAAAATTCATTATTCAATATTTTTTTAGTGAATAATATAAATGAATAACTATTTTTTATCCATTTTGCCAAAATTAGAGAAAACTTTCCCACCAAAAAATTAGAGACATTAGCGTTGTTTCTTGACCTCCCTTCTACCCTCACAGAAAAGAAGAAAAAGAGAGAGAAAGAAGAGAGAAGCAATACCGCATATATTTGGTGTATAATTCAAGACAAAAGCCAGATGTGAAGGAAAATATGAGAGAAGAAATATAATATAATGTTGTCCGAAATGGAAAATCACCTAACTGTATAGTAGTACTTTTTTGAGTGCTATACAACTGTAAATACGGGATAGGAACGTTGACAAAGTAATCTAATAACAAAAGAATTTCAACTTATTTTGCCAAACTATGAGACTTTTAAGTTTAACAATTGGACCAGTCATAACAACTTACCACAGTAATTGATCTTTTCCACAAGCATGCATGACTGATGAAAATTAAAATGTAGAAACATCTTAACTCACATTTAAACCATGGGGCAGCTAACGAAACTACAAATTAACAGCAGTATAGCGGCGTTCATGTTGACAAATAGGTATAAACTTATTTTCCAATTATGGAAAAGTAAATTAAGAAAAAGAAATCAGTTCTCCTTTTAGTCCACAAGATGAAACTGGATGCTACTTTCCTCTAATATCTTTAATTTTGGTGACACTGCAAAGATTACGATATATTAAATCAGGTTGACTAACGACGAATATTGTACATGTATCAAACCAACCCTTTCAACAGGCTTATCACTAATTTTAGTAGTGATAGTGTGTAACGAGGAGAAATATGTCGAATAGCAGGTAAGAGTCTATGATTAGAAAACGAATATCTATTATAAATAGTAGATTTATCATCGAATTGAATACAAATCCTACCATTCGGATTTTGAGTAACATGCGAAAATTCACTGTTTGACAAGTCATTAGTGATCTGACTTGGGGATATAACAAAATTTAAAGTCCAAGTAGTTGGAAAATTAATTTCTTCCCGCTTAATAGATTAAAGTAAAAGATGCATATGCATTAACCATGTTTATGTGATTAAGCTTATATATGTAACACTGACATGCACATATTTATTTGTGTTATGCATTGATGGGACTCATGCGAAATGACTTTCATGTCTTCTATTGATCATAGAAATATTATTTAAGAAATTCATTAAATATGTATAAAAATTAAATTCAAAACTAAGTTTCTACTATGTGATATAACTATTCTAGAATTTAGAACCTATAAAGTTCAAATCCTTGAGTAATGATCAAACAGTTTTTGCTTCTAGACATCTTATCATAACGGGGGAAACCACGAAACAACAAAGGGAGCGGAAGAAAATAAGTGTAAAAGAAAAGTTGAGCATCCAAATCAAGAATGACTATTGTCGTCGTAATATTATTTGGCTATTTAACTTTTTATGTGTTTACTTTTCTAAATTTAAGCCACTAAAAGAAGAAACTAAGAATAGAAATGTATGACTTTCTTGATAGAATCGAGTTAATTTAACAAAGGGTGGTCATATTCAAAAGGATGAAAAATCAAAGCAGACAAAGAAATAAGATGCAGTTTATATGTTTTATACGTTAAATGGTAATGATAGTTGTGTTAATGTTTGCTACGACATTCTTATTCTTGCAATCTTGCCTTATAAATACGTTGATCTTCTTGCCATAACTTAATTCAAGAATAATAAGAAACTTCTATATATAGCAAAACAACAGTGATTTTAAGGAAACTATTGATGGTTTATCTTGGAAAAATGAGGTTTATAATGAAGGTTTTCATCCTTCAATTTGTAGGAGTTCTCTTCTTTTCTGGCCTTTTACTTACTCAGGCTTTTGTTCACCGTCATCGATTTGTCGTAAGTTTCATCTTAACATTCTTCTTATTACGATATTTTCATTTTCAATTAGTATTAGCAGCTCTTCCTTTTTATATATGAAAGGACTCTTGGTTACATAAAAAATGTGGAGTTCTGAGAATTTTAATATGTTAAATTGCATTTAGTACTTCACATATCATAATATTTCATGGACAAGGCCACTTTTTGTCCTATTTTTCTTTTCCCATAGTTATATTCCTATAGAGTTAACATTTTTTCTAAGCTAGAGGAAGCCACTTCATGTGCCCATAAAAACTTTTAAAAGTAAAAGGATTTCATTACCTGCTACAACAGGTAAAGTGGTGTAAAATTTTCTTACAACGTACATATAATTTAAATTCTTAAAATAAATCCTAGTATATATTGCTTATGAAGGTAAGATTTTCAGGGACTGCTCTTTCATAAAGCAAGTAAAGCAACTGTTGTCCCATTTTTTGTTACACCTAATAGGCTACGTATAAGTTTAAAAAAAGGTTCTATGAAGTAAAAAAAATTGATTTTTTTCTTTAACAATAAGTATAGTGAAGAAGGATTTGCAACTGCTACGATTTCGCCAAGAAAATTGCACTTGAAATGAATATCGAACCCGAATTTTGTAAGAAACATGTTGTGATGTATCGATAATAAAATCTCAAAATCTTTCGAAGAGTCCTTTAGAGTTGATTACTTTATACATAGTAGACAAGACTATTTTTTCACTTCAAAATAGATTTGAACAATTCGAAGCATATAAAAATAATTTTGGTTTTCTTTTTAGCGATAAAAATTAAGATCACTAGATGATGGAAATTTGAAAAAATATTCCTTAATCTTGAATGTTCCTTAAAGCATAATAATCAATTCGATATTGATGGTTTAGATTTATTTTCGAAATTAAAAGTATTAAAGAAAATAGTACAATTAGAAGATAACAATTTGATTGATACACTCCGTCAAATAAAAGATTTGATTCTTTTTCCAATGTCTATATTGCTTATGGAATAATGTTAATAACTCTTGTTACTATCGCTTCAACGGAAAGAAATTTTCAAAATTAAAATTGATAAAATCTTACCTAATATCAACAATGTTTCAGAAAAGGTTAAATGGATTAGCTATATTGTCAATTAAAAAAATATTTATTAGGAGTTATTGATTATAAGAAAATTATTAATAACTTTGTATCTAAGAAATGCTAGAAAAATAGACTTCAAATAAATAAATAAATATCTATTAAAAAAAAATTAAAACCCCTCGTAAAGTTTTGCTTTAGGTAACAAAACTCGTCGGGCCTCAAAGCTGAAAGACTTTATGTGTGGCCGGATATGCAGGTGAAAGAAGCTCCATACACTAGACTTTGCAGCACAAAGAACATATTAACTGTCAATGGAAAATTCCCAGGGCCAGTTCTTTATGCCAATACCGGCGATACGCTCGTTGTCGATGTGTATAACCAGGGAAGCCAAAATATAACCATCCATTGGCAAGTATCTTTCGCAAAAATCTGTAACATATTGAATTATATAACCATCTCAATCAAGTATAGGCTGATGTTTATTGAAAAAATAACATAATTAAATTATATATGCAGGCATGGTGTGAAACAACCAAGATATCCCTGGTCAGATGGTCCTGAATTTATTACTCAATGCCCAATCCGACCGGGAACAAAATTCAGTCAGAAGATTAAGCTTTCAGATGAGGAGGGCACATTGTGGTGGCACGCTCATAGCGATTGGTCACGAGCCACAGTGAATGGTGCTCTCGTGATCCGTCCTGCAAATAAAACTCAATATCCTTTCCCTAAACCTGATGCTGAAATCCCCATCATAATAGGTACATTCACAAAAACTAATTAATGGATTCTATCCTGCTTTCTTTTATGATTTTTGTTTTTATTTTGATGAATTGTTATATGTGGTGTGTGAAATGCAGGGGAATGGTGGAAGAGTGATGTACAAGAGGTGGTTGATGAGTTTCTCGCAAGTGGAGGAGATGTAAATATTTCAGATGCTTACCTTATAAATGGTCAACCAGGGGATTTATATCCTTGCTCAAGAAATGGTCCAAAACTCTTCCCTTCCCCTTCTTGTTTTTATTTATGAATTTAACTTTTATACTAAATCTTTACACAAATAGTTGGTTGAATTCAGTATTTACTTTTTCAAGCCAATATACATAGAATATATACGCATTGTATATATAGATTGTACACATATTATATATCAGTTGACTAGTTTTAGTTCAAGCAATTAGGTAAGCGACTATTTAGGTTAATTCTTCTTAAGTCTTATACTATCAGGTCACTTAAAAAGATAGTTATAAATAACTATATATTCATAATAAGTAGAACTATTTACTAGTTGAAAAATAAGACTGACAACCTGCTAGAACATGTTAAATTAATAATATAGTAACATATATTTAAATCCTTATCTTAGAAGCTAGCAAACTTATTGCATTGTTCTTAACAACTACATTATCCTAAATACTTCTTAAATATAGTGGTTATAGAAAAATCCGTTTTCTATCACGTAAAATAGGATAATGAATATTTCAGTATACAAGGGATGTCCTTTCCACAATTTATCACACATTTGTGCATTTTCAAATCCAATATTGAATTACTGATGAACAATTTCTTGTAATTTAACAGGTACATACAAGCTAACAGTTGACTATGGCAAGACTTATTTGCTTCGAATGGTGAACGCTGTAATGAACAATCAAATGTTCTTCTCCATAGCAAATCATCAAATCACTGTAGTAGGATCAGATGCTGCCTATTTAAAGCCATTCAAAACAGATTATATCATAATTTCTCCTGGACAGACCATTGATTTATTACTTGAAGCAAATCAACCCCTCAACCATTATTACATGGCTTCAAGAGCTTACAGTAGCAACCCTGGAATTCGATACGATGACACAAACACCACCGCCATCCTCCAGTATCGGGGAAATTACACCCCGTCTTCACCACCATCCTTCCCGAATAATCTCCCTAATCACACCGATACAAATGCATTTGTTAGTTTCACGGGGAAATTCCGGTTTTTGGCTAATAAGGAACATCCAATGAACGTGCCATTGAACGTTACAAAAAAATTGTTATTTACATTTTCGGTTAACACATTGCCATGTGCTAATGAGTCGTGCCTTGGACCAAATGGAGATAAATTTGCAGCTAGTGTGAATAATATAAGTTTTGTTATGCCTCAAATTGACATACTTGAAGCTTATTATAAGCAGATAAATGGGATTTATGGAGATGATTTTCCTAGTGTTCCACCTTTGAAATTCAACTACACAGGGGATTCATTACCTGTGGAATTTCAAAGAGTTGATAGGAGAACAGAAGTGCATGTTCTTGAATATGGATCAACGGTGGAGATTGTTTTGCAGGGGACTAATTTATTGGGTGGAGTTGATCATCCCATTCATTTGCATGGATACAGTTTTTATGTGGTTGGTTTGGGTTTTGGAAATTTTGATAAGGAGAAGGACCCTTTGAATTATAATGTTGTTGATCCTCCTCTTCAGAACACTATTGCTATTCCAAGAAATGGCTGGGCAGCCATCAGATTCACAGCCAATAATCCTGGTATGATCACATTTATTTAAACATATTTGTCGTCATAATACATATACCCTTTACTCCATTTAATTTAGATGGTACTATTTGATTAGTATCGGAGTTTAAAAAAGAAAAAAAAATTTGAATTTTGTGGTCTTAAACATGTATGGTATGATATTTATATGTCTATAAAAGTATGTTACTGAGGTAAAATCAGAATTTAAAGTTAAATATTTCAAATATAAAAATATGTCATTCTTTTTAAAATAAATAAATAATAAAAAGATTGCCACGTAAAATGAAATAGAGGAATAATTATTTAGGAGCTATACTCAATTTGACAAATGCGCAAGGATTTTATTAAGGTGCCTGTATGCCTATTTTGGTGTGTTGCTCTGTTAAAATTTGAATACGCATAAAATAATGGTTTTGCTTAATGGTATGTATGATATAAACCATTTAATTATTCAAGTTGCTGAGATTGAAAGGAAGAATTAAGTTATATACATTGATACTTTGATAGTATAAGAAATTTTTACTTCATCACAGTAAATTAATCTATATACATTATAACAGAATTATTACCAATTTTTGTTACAAATCAATATTTTTTAAATAGAGTTACATGTAATAATTTCCACATAATCAGTACATACAGACGTTAAACCAAATTTGTACTGCTAAACACTAAACCAAATTATTGATAAGGAGAACTTCTCCCAAATGGTGTCCTACGCGGTATGAATCGGGGTATAATCGGATTCCAATATCAGTACCGAACACCGGATGGGAAGTAAAAAAAAATCTTTACTGCCAATTTCACATGGTGCCGTACTTAGACATTTTTTTTTTCTTTTAATTGGCTGATCAGGTGTGTGGTTTATGCACTGCCATTTCGAGCGTCACATAAGCTGGGGAATGGATATGGCATTCATTGTTAAGGATGGAAAAGGCTTGGATCAGAAACTTCTGCCTCCACCTCCAGATATGCCCAATTGTTGATTCGATTAATCTTAGAATATATATACAAATTATTAATTTTGATTCCTTACCGAGTCCCTATAAACATTAATTGTTCAGTGATTTAATTTATTAGTTTGTTGTATAACGTAGCTTTGGATTATCTATGATATTGCTTTTACAATGTTTACTAAATGTATAATGGGTCATGAATAAATGAAAGTCTTGTTACTTTTATGAATTTTCTTGAAGAAGGTTCACTTTAATTTTGTGATAATTAATTTTGAGAAACCACCGGTGGTTATTTTTGTCTTGAATAAATTAACTTTCTGCTTCTGCTTTTTGGAAGAAGCTAGAATTTGTAGCTTCTCCTCAAAATTGTTTATGCTGCTGCTAAGAAGTATTTTTTTCATTTTGGCCAAACACCTTAAATTTTTCAAAAAGTACTTTTTTGGCTAAAAAAAAGTACTTTTGGCCTCCTAAAAGCTTGGCCAAACTGGCTCTAAATGTATAATGAGTCATTAATAAATGAAAGTCTCGTTACTTTTATGAATTTCTTGAAGAAGGTTCACGTTAATTTAGTGATAATTAATTTTGAAAAACCACCACTGATTATTAACATTGTCTAATTAGTAAAATCAAGTCACTAAATCAAAATACGTCTTGGGTGTAAGCTAGTAAGAAGATGAATAAAATCTCCCATTTTAAGTTAATAAGATTGAGCAGTGAAATGTCGAGAGTTCAAAAAAAATAAAAATGAAGGATCAACCCAAATAGTCGTTTACTCAATATTTAAACTAAAAATAGCTAGAGAATATATAATTTATTATAATCGTGTATAATTACAGTATAAATTATACCAGGTAAGAAAAATAAATAGTGAATTCGAGCGGCGATTTATGTAAAGATTTCTATCATTGGATAATTTAAGGGTATTTGCATCTATACCCGCTTTTTGGGTCACGTTTTAATTTATACCCGCTTTTACAAAAGAATTACAAATGTACCCACTTTTCGCATAACTTCAGGCATACGGGCCTGAAGTAGCAAAGGCAATCACGCAAACTTCAGCATTCTAGTAGAGGGGCCTGACGTAGCAAATTGCTGAACCAAGTGTTGGCTGAAGTTTTTATTTGTAATTGATGAACTTAAGCATTCTAGTAGCTGAAGTTTTGTTCTATATTTGTTGAACTTCAGCACGTTTTAGCTGCACAACCCATGCTCTCAAGATATGTCAACAATCTTACCATAAGTTGAATATGAGGACAAAATCGTGAAGTACTCTGAAAACTCAACACATGTTTGTGAGGATTTCCCCATAAAACCATCAGATATGAATGGACTTCGTATGATTTCAAGTAATATAATCTAATATATAGTTAAAACCCACATTTAAATTCTAATCTATAGTTATATATAAACTTCCAAATTTGGACTGAAACTAAATCATCAAGCTCAGGTGAAGATTGTAACCTATGAACTGAAGTTTCATAGCAGCACCAACAGCAGCAGAAGAAAAGAAGAAGAAGAAAAAAAAGAAGGAGGAGGAGGAGAAAGAGGGCTGAAGTTGTTTAAAAGTGGGTACAAGTTACAACTTTTTTAAAAAATGAGTATAGGTTAAAAAGAAAACTACCTTGTATGGCCATTGAAAAAAAATGAAAAGAGCCAAATATATCCCTCTACTTTTGTTTATTGTTCAATCCCATCCCCCGTTATACTTTCAGCTCATATATACCCCTGCCATCCAACAAAGTTTTATATTTATCCTTATTTTAACGGACATGACACATGGCATCCTTTAAGCACAAGACCTGACCCACAACTTAAAAAACTCATACCCACTTAAAAGTTAAAACCCACGACCAAAGTACCACATTAAAGAATTTGGGTCGCGTTGGACACTTATGCTCTGAGATTTCTCCGATGACTAGTGATAGTTGTTTCCTTCATCTTGTGGGTTTTGGGGGTTGTGAAGGGAGGAGAGGAGAGAGTGGGGCTAGACAGGATCGGTTATTGACCAGAAATAATGGAGGATCAGTGGCTTTTCCGGTGATGGTGGTCGTTTCCCGGCCAGGTAACTGCCGGAAAAGAGGTGGAGGAAACGATGGACGCATAATACGATGTCGTTTTTGAATTTTTCACACTCTCAATGGGCTAATCTTCCTCCACTAATGGTCCGATTTTAGAGCCTATAAATATCGTAATTTCACTGGGCTGCTACTGCTCTTAATTCTCTTGAATGGGGTTTGTCTATTTTATGTAAAGTTTTTGACTTAATTGTTTAATTGGATTGTTTCCTTCTTTAACTATCTGTTTGCTAGGTTCCTCTGATTTTGATTTAATCTTTTAGTTCATGATTTGTATTAATTTATTTGAAAAATTGGAAGATTAGTATATTACATGTTTGATCCTTATTTACTCACTAAATCTGATACTTTACTTATTGGAAATTGCAGTTTCGATCTGATGTTTTCTTAAGGTTGCAGCTCATTATAATAGCTGTTTTGGGGGGGCGGGGGGGTAGAAGAAATGAGTTTTAATTTTAGGAAATTTTTTTAAAAGGGGAACCGGGTCAGATGGTTATATTTTAAGCATGTTTTGGTTTTTTTGTTTTGTTTTAGGATTGGTTCTTTCAATCAGACGGTGCCACATGTCATGTCCCTTAAAATAGGGATAAATATAGAACTTTGTTGGACGGTAGGGGTATATATGAACGGAAAGTATAATGGGGATGAGATTGAACAATAAACAAAAGTAGAGAGATATATTTGGCATTTTTCCGTTGAAAAAAAGTATTAGCCCAAAGTTTTGCACGTAACCCGAAATGTGCAATCGGATAAAACCAACAGACAAAAGATAAAAGTAAATTTTGGTACTAACTTTTTTATCTTCCCTAGATATTTTTCCTTCCAAACACCAAATTGTTTTCTCTCTTTTACGTATCACATTTGACTTTTTACTCTTTCTATATTTTTTTACTTCTTTTCTTCAATTCTTTTAATTCTAACACCTTTTTTTTCTCTCTCTTACTTTTACTTTTTTTAATACTATTTAATATTGGATTTAATGATAGGCGAAGTGCAGTATATATATAAAGTGTGTGTGCGCATATATATGTATGTATAAAGTTGTACGTACTGGNGTGTATATTGAGCCTATTTCGAGTGTGCTTGTGTATCTAAAGTGTATATATTTGTGTACCCCAAGTGTAGTTTTTATTGTGAATGTATAATCTGTCTGAACAATGTATCAAAATTGTATATGCATGTGTATTTTCTAATATGTAAACATAGTGTATATAAATTATATATACATTTTTTATGCGTAATGTGTGCACACCGTGTATTTAGAGTGTATCATGTATTTTTGTATAATGACAGTCTTATTTGTATATATTTTGTATAGTTACATCTATTTTGTATATTTTTTGTATAGTGACAGTCTATTTTGTATATTTTTTGTATAGTGACAGTCTATTTTGTATATATTCTATATAGTGACATCTATTTTGTATATTTTTTGTATAGTGACAGTCTATTTTGTATATTTTATGTATAATGACAGTCTATTTTTGTATATATTTTGTATAGTTACATCTATTTTGTATATTTTTTGTATAGTGACAGTCTATTTTGTATATTTTATGTATAATGACAGTCTATTTTGTATATGTTTTGTATAGTAATAGTCTATTTTGTATATTTTTTGTATAATGACAGTCTATTTTTGTATATATTTTGTATAGTGAGAGTTTATTTTGTATATATATTATGTAGTAATTGAACACAATAAGTAAACACAATTGTGTAATTGAAATAATCGTCAAACAACATGTTACCTCATTAAAACTGAAATTAATTCACAGGCAAGACAAATAAGCATAAATAAAGCAAAATAAAACACTTCATTGATGTAAATACAATCTACTAAGCACATTAATTTCTTGGTTGCACATATTTAAATTAACTGCATTACTTGCATTAATCCTAAATCCACATAAACTAAAAAACCCACCTAAAACAGCAAAGTATATGTCTGTCACACGTGCCACCTACATAAAAGTCACACAGTTGTGCTTTTTTAGAGGACAAAAACTAGTGAGTGCCTCGTTGATCTCTATGTATCCCATGCTCACCACTTCTCTTTTGAACTTTCTTGAGAATAACACCAAACAGTACACACACAAAACAACAGAAAACTTAAAGAGAGAGAGAAACAATTCAATATCTCTCTCTCTCTCTCTCTTTTTGTATTTAAGCTTATCAGCTACCTCTATCCATATCCAAGAACATCAATGGGCAATGTTTGCTTTGCTCTTTATCCCATTTTTTTTTTGGAATTTCTGATTTTTTTGGGTTATAGGAAGAGAAGAAGAAACCAGAAGAAGTAACACAATTTATATAGTGACGGTGGTTAGCAATCTTCAAATTGAAACAAGAAATTAAGCCCTCTGTGGTTGGTGCTAAAAGGTCTGTTTTGTGTTGGGTATTTGTTAGCACATTGCAATTGGAGATTGAGCATCGTTTGGTCTTGATTTAGCAGTAATTTTGGAGATCCTGAGTTGTGCCAACGCTCCTGGCTTTATGTATGTATAATACGACGGCATTGAAGATCTCAAATTCCTACTTCTTATCTTAGATTTCATTTTTCTATTTTGGAACTTGGGTTGGAATTGGAGAAGAGCGATTTTTGGATGAAGGACGAGATTGTACTTCCGTGATAGTTGGATCGGTGGCTAGCCTTTTAATTAGTTTTGGACTATAAAATGCATACTGTTATGAATAGGATTCTATTTAGGGTGAATGTCTATCTTGTAGAGAGTTTTACTTTGTGGCTAAGTCATTTTCCCCCTATAAATAGAGGGTCTTACCCAATTGTAAATCATCCCAAAATTCAATAAGAATTTCTTCTCTCTCTTTCTCTGCAATATTGTTCTTCTACTTTTATTGTTTTATAACGCGTTATCAGCACAAGATTCTACCGTCTCAAGAAGATTAAGGTACAACTTTTCTCCTCTTTTAATTATGACTGATATTATGAAAAGAAAGGTCATTGCCCTTGAAATTTCGGGCAAGAACTATATGACATGGGTGTTGGATGCTAAAATTCATTTAGATGCAATGGGTCTTGGAGATACCATTAAAGACAAAACTAAAGCATCCACCCAAGACTGTGCTAAGACCTTGATTTTCTTG